ATTAGCAAGTCACAGGAATAAGGTGCTTCACAGATCAAGATAAATAATATGAACATTTCATGCATCTCAGGAAAATAAAAAGTGACTTTCAAAGGTAACAAAAAAAAACTTGATGGGACTCTTTTAATTAAAATGTTTTAAAAAACAATATAGTGATTCTTGCTTTAAGGCATTTGAAATGTGGGGTAAGAAGCCAGCACTTGACTTTTATGTACAATAAATAAAATATGCCAACATTTGATTTCTGATTCAAATTTATCTCCAATTTCTAAATTAAATTCGTTTTTAAATGCCTTCTATTAAACTTAACAAATGAACTATACATTGAACAAACATTTAACTATACTCAGTTACACACATAAACACTCATTCACATACCCTACCAAATGGCTGAATTATTGATAACTACACTTTTGCTTTTATATTCCAGTATGTTCATGTTTAATTACAATAGATAAATAAGGTTATTATAATAAAACACAAATAATTAGTAACAAATACACAAAGGATCTCATCCATTTGACATGTATTTTCTTTATAATGTGCATAACATTAAATATGACATAAAATTGTATAACATAAAAGACATAATAGAGAAAACAAAATGTATTATGTGGATCCCACACATGCAGCAAGTTCTTTTTTTTTTTTTTTTTTGATTTACACAGCAATTGCACTAGTACAGTAGACTTCAGAATTTTAAATGCAGTTAATGATTTTTTTAAGTAAGATTTCTCTGATAACAATTACTGCTGAGTTTTAAGTCTCTTTGAGAATAAAAACATGTCTTAGTTCTACTGGTCAAGATTTGCATTAGATGAAGTACATCATATTTGTCCTTGCTGTCATGCTGATAGGAGGATATGCTCTTAGGCTTCTCTTCTGTTGATGAATCTGGAAATATGTTACAATATTCCTTCAGATGATATCCATTGTTTTAATTCATCAATATGTTTCTAAATAAAGATTATCATTACACTGAAAAAAAATTAAACGAATGTATGGTTACGTGAACAGACCAAAGTTAAGGACGTACTGCTCACAGTTAAAGAAATGAAATGGAGGTGGGCAGGACATGTCAAAAGAATGAAGGACAATAGGTGGACAATCAGGCTTACAGAATGGACCCCAAGGTATGGACAAAGAAAAAGAGGAAGGCCGGTCAAACGATGGAGGGATGAATTAGATGACTACTGGAAGTCTTGGAAGAAGAAACCTTGGCCAAACTGGAAATCTGAGGCTCAGGATAGGAAACAATGGAAAAAGCATGCTGAGGCCTTTGTCCAACAGTGGAACACTATAGGCTCTAAATGATGATGATGATGATGAAAAAAAATTAATGAAAATAAACCCAACTGCAGGAATCATTTGTAAATTAGTAAGAAAACATGCATCTTTTTTCATATTGCCCAATGCAAATCCTGATATATTTCTTTTACTGTTTTGATAGATAAATAAATAAATAAATAAATAAATAAATAAATAAATACCACATGGAACAGTTTTACCTTAGCTATTAGCTGTGGTACCATATGGTCTGGAGTTTGTTTGTGACCCTGATCTCCAGGACAACAGGTCCAGATGATCGTCTGCAAACACATCAAAGATGGCATCCAGAGCCTCCGCAACCGCCCACAATGTCTGGTCCTTGGTTACTACTTCCACAAGAAATGAGCCAAAATTCTTAAGGGAAAAATAAACTCAACAGCAAAACTGCCAAATATACAGACACCAAACAGCAACCAAAATTTCAACAACATTAGCAAAAGAGTTTTAAAAATTATAAAAGCAATCAAAGTGTTCCCTTTAACAACAGGTAAAAGAAACAAATGTTTTTTCACTCTTCACAAACTCTGTTGGTTTTCTGATCATCAGTACAAACTTGTTTGAAACAGAAATACTGGCAAAAATGCAATCATAAAAAGTAAAAAAAATTGTACATGCACACACAATTAAGGCCACACTTTTTTATTTTTATGGATGACATCCTCTGAGTACCCCAAAATCGGTGCGAGAGGGCGAAAAAAAAA